TAAAAAAAAAAAAATAAATGATCTTTTGAGTTACGTGTGTAAATATGCTTATGAACATGAGATCTGCCTTACAAAAGTTCCAGATGTTTCTGTATTAATTATTGTTATATTTATTCTTAATCTCTACTACTAAACACGTAAATAAGCTAACATTACAGCAAGATTAGAAACTAATAAAACTTAAAAAAAATAAATGATCTTTTGAGTTACGTGTGTAAATATGCTTATGAACATGAGATCTGCCTTACAAAAGTTCCAGATGTTTCTGTATTAATTATTGTTATATTTATTCTTAATCTCTACTACTAAACACAAATGTAAATAAGCGTACATGTTGAATTAGACGTATTTATTATCATATATTTAGGTGTTATAAATTCTCAAAGGTGAGAATAATTTTTCACAAGCTGTTACTACAACATGAATTATATATGAAACACTAAATCTGAGGTCGAAACTAATATTTATGTTCATTTCATACTCATAAACGGCGTGTAATTGCTTTCAAGCATCTTCATACAGTATCACCTTGGGAATCTGATCGAATGACCTAATAAAAGTCTTTAATTCGAGCGCCGGAGGGGAGAAACGCAGACTTATTTTCTCATTAAGAATCTGTCACGCTTCTAATTGTGTGTTTTATTTTAAAAGCTCTTCATGTTTAATTCAGGCCTTTGTGTTGTACTGCAAACCCTCAGGACATCTGCATAATTTATGCACCGAACAAGAGAACACGCCGTTAAAGTTTGGACTATTGCAAACATTAATAAACTCACACGCATCAGCGGGATGAATTATTAAAATAAGAATCTAGTCTGGTTCAAAACGAGGCTGTCGGCACATGTTCCTTCATCGCTGCTCATTTCCATCGTGCCATTCGTCTTCATTACGTCTGCTGCTAAATAACGTTGTGAGGTCATTACGTAATCACGACGCAAAATTGCGTCACTGCATCAAATCTCAGCAAAAAATATATTTTATGTATGTTAATTTATATTTGTTCGTAATATAATAATATAAATGCATAATATAGCATTAAACTGTAAACAGCTATTTTTAAATACATTTTTGAAAACATACACATTTTTGAACGATTACAATTTAAGTTTTTTTTTATTAGCTAGAAAACTATACTCATTTTGAACAGTTATAGTTTTAAAGGAGACATATTATGCCCCTTTTTACAATATGTAATATAGATTTTCATGATATGTCACCTTTAAGCAGTGTATTAGTAGTTAGTTAGTGTGCTGCACTCTAAGAAAATTCCGTAAAATAGAGCACAATCTACTATGTTAATATGAAGGAATTTTCTGTATTGATTTTTTTGCATTTTTAATTACGCATTGTATTTTGTGTTTTTGGGTTACAACGGATAATGGATAACGGATGATGTCCCGGAAAATTTAAATTTTTCTAGATATTTTTCTTACAGTGTACCAACTGATCAACAATCGCAAGTACAAGCTTCTAACAAAGTGTATCATAAATGAACAATTATTAAATTACCAAATTATTTTATTATTATTAAACTAAACAATTGTAAATAGCAGCTAACTTAATTCACGTGATGTGTGTACTACTACGCATCTTTGGTTTTCTCTTTTTGTGTCATTTAAATGGTAAATGTTCCTTTTTATCATTTGAGTCACTTACCAAAAGTTACAGTTGCAAAATAAATTTTAAAAATAGCTACATTTGTTGCTAGGTTTGGAAGAAAAAGTTGCTAGGGTAGTGTGAAAAGTTGCTAAATGTAGCAACAAAATTGCTAAGTTGGCAACACTGGCTTTCTTCAGCCGGAGCCACTTTAGAGCCGTTTCAGAGATGCTTCAAAGATGCTTAACGAGCGCCTGCGGTTGGTTACCAGTTGCCCAGGTAACAAATGTAGGTTATAGAAATGCTGTGGGAACATTGTTTTGAAATGCTTCTAAAATGTCATGTGATTGTAACGTTATTTGAAGGTTACAAAAACGTTTCTTACAACGTTATAATAACTAATAATTTTCATCAGAAATAAAATGTAATTTGACTCTTCACTCTTCCTACAATGCAGAAAAAGATCAGAGAGTCAGATCCAGAGCATATAAACATATAATGCAGTGATTGAGAGCTGAAGAAATAAAGGCTCCTCAGAAGATGTGAGATGTTCTGGAGGCTTGTGAAGATCATTCCTCCGCTGAGGAACAGTGAAAGTAAAGCTTCTGGAGACAAACGCTCCTCAAAAGATCCTGAGGATCAGATTTGAGACTCTAAAACATGATTGATGGAGAATCAAGTAAAGCTGAGCTGCTTCAGTCCAGTTAGTGTTCATCTGGAGATATTACTGACGTTAACTGAAGTTTCTGAACTCTCACGTGAAGACACGAGGAGAATAAAGCGATCTGAGCGTCATCTCTTCTCTGCGTCTCTCGTTCCAGTGTGATGTTTCAATCAATGTCTGTGAGATTCAGTGTGCCATCATTAGCTCTTCACCTCACACACACTAATCAATGTTTGCCTGTGTAATATGAACGCTCCATTTCTGATCTGCTTTTAATTGCTCTTTTTCTGATGGCAGCATCAATAATGAATACTATGGAGGTCCATTTCCGCCACTGAATAAAAAACAAAAAAGGTAATTGCCACTTTTTGTCTCACAATTCTGACTTTTTTTTCTTCTCAGAATTGCATCATATAAACTAGCAATTCTGAATTTTTTTCTCAGAATTGTGAGATATAAACTCACAATTACGAGTTATAAAGTCAGAATTGCAGGATATAAACTCGCAATTCTGACTTTTTTCTCACAATTGCGAGTTTGTATCTTGAAGTTCTGACTTTTTTTTCTCAGAATTGCAAGTTATAAAGTCCAGTTCTAAGGAGAAAAAAAAGACCAATATGTTCTCAGAATTGCAAGTTTATATATCACACAATTCTGACTTCATTTCTCAGAAATGCAAGTTTATATCTCGCAATTCTGAGAAAAAAAAGTCAGAATTGGCAGTTTATATCTCACAGTTGTGACAAATGAAAGCCAAATTGCGAGTTTGTATAAGGCAATTGTGAGATGTAAACTCACAACTGTGAGAAAAAAAGTCAGAATTGTGAGATAAAAAGTCACAATTACCTTTTTTATTTTTTTTTATTCAGTGGCGGAAATGGGCTTCCATAGAATATGGTTCAGAAAC